TTTTCTAGTCAATTAAATTGTCTACAGAGTAGCTTTCAAATTCAGATAAACACACTACTAGTATTTTGTGAACCATACACAGTGAAGAAATATGGCAGAGGTACTTGCTTTCCAAAAAAGCTGTCTGTTCTTGTCTTTTCCGAGGACTGGGGGGCCCTTCCACACAGTCTTATATCCCAGAATATAAAAGTAGAAAATCCCACATTATCTGAGTGTGGACTTACATAACCCAGCTCAAAGCAGCTATTGTGGGATTTTCTGCCTTGATATTCTGGGATATAGGGCTGTGTGAAATCATTCAGAGATGACCCAAGAAGCTTATTCGATCATAGTGCCATATTACTGTTTAATTGATTGACTTGTGATACAGCAGCAATTATCTTATAGTTCAGCATAATATAACAACAAACAGTGTGGGGTTACTGGATTAAAGGGGGAACACTTGGCAGTACCTTATTCAAGCATGCCATAGATTCCTTTATTTATAACGTGGTCTAACAAACACTAAACTACAGGGAAGAATATTATGGAGAATACAAAAGGTTGCTGTGAGTTATCTGGGCTGCATGCACATGTTCCAGAAGTATTCTCTCCTGACGTTTCGCCCACATCTATGGCAGGCATCCTCACAGATTGTGAGGTTTGTAGGAAACAAGGTAAGTGGGGTTTATATATCTGTGGAATGTCCAGAGTGGGGGAAAGAACTCTTGTCTGTTTGAGGCAAATGTGAATGCTGCAATTGATCACCTTGATTAGCATGGAACAGCCTTGCAGCTTCACAGCAACCCAGTTATTTTGGTAGAAGTCCTCAAGTGTAAGACAGAAGATTGAAAATGTTTTTGTTTACTTGTGCAAAGTTTGCCCAACCCATTTCTTTTACATGTACATACAGTCAAACTGGAAATATCTTGAAACACGTGGAACTGCATTTCTTTCCTGCTATGTAGGAACCAATCTCTATTATTTCCATGTTGTTTCTGACTCAGGTATCTATTTTCCTGTTAAAGGAGTAATGTCCAGGAGTATAGCTACTTTAAGTGAGGTATATCTATACCATCTCAAAATGTAACGTGATTCTGACAAAATGTTTCAAACCACTACAAAAAAAAAAACCCAAACAACAAAAGGAAGGATAGTAAAGTTAATCTCAAACCTCGTAAAAAGCTTTGTTGTCATCCCAGTAGTGACTTTCAGCATCCTGTAAAATGCTTGTAGAACAAACTCTGATGCAGTAGTTTGTAACTTGAAACTGAAGAAGGTTGATCAGTTCATCATATTGCTGAAGAGGTACTAGAAACAAGGGCCTGTTCAAATGAGAAAATCAAAGGCAAAAGATTTAAGACCAGTGCAGCAGGAGATAACAATCCACCATACTACAAATGGTTTGGATTATTATGTATCAATCATTCTTTCTCTCTTGATACTTGAATCTAAACTCGTATTTGCTTTAAAATCTGGTCTTTGTTATAGAAACGGTTTGAAAATGTACACCTGCTGTTTTACTGTACAATCATTTTAGGCAAAATGTGTTGTCAAGACAAAAATCCACTGTCCCTTTAAATAATCTGGATAGTTTTTTGTGGGGCTTTTTTTTTTTTTTGCTCTTATTGGAATATAATTTACAATTCTAACTTTTTTTTGTTTGAAAGCGTGTTCTGTTATAAAGAAATGCCATACAGTTTGAGATATACAGAATACATGAATATGAAGTTTTATTATTTATATGACCAACAATGTACTGTATGAGGCAGAAAGGATATCAGGTAAATAAAAAGAAAGAACATGGGTCTTCCACTTAAAAGCCAAATATCTACAGACATGAAGACAATAGAGAAAGTAGGAGGAGGGAATCATAAGGTGAGGTAAGGATATGAATTAAAGAATGTATGCTTCCATAGCAACTCAAAGATTTCGTTTGGCTGCAAATGTAAACCAGTAATCAAAAACCACTAGCTGTGTGTTCCTCATTTGCTACCTCCAATCAGAGATAAGATAGTGAAAGATATGCTGGTTTGCAAACAGAAAAGCTGCTGCATGCATCAAAGTTGTTTTGTAGGCAGGAAAGTTGTTATACTTGAGCTTCACCCTGTATATATAGGCAAAGAAGTAATCACAATTTTATGTCATTCTTGAGAAAACGTCTGAATTACTATAAAATAAATCAGGCCTTCTTTTGTTGCTTTGCCCACCCCACAGTACCCTTGGCCCAACCCTGTGGCCATAAGCGTTGACCATCACTATCAATTGTGCACAATGCCTTCAGACTGAAAAAGGATCCCCACCTGCCCTAAACTAAATTTTAACGTTGCAAGAAAAAACGTTAATCCAGACAGGATTCATGCTTACACTCCCCTCCTCAGCCTCTCTAATTTGGTATAGGCTCAAGGCACGATTTAGAGACTTCTGTTTTTGTTATTAACCACAGCTTCCCATATTGTTTAAACACCGGATAGTTCAAATAAAACAAGTTCAAGAGATAATCTAACAAACTGGCTTGCTTTAAAAAACTGCCATTAAGATTAACTGCAACTTGGAATTTAGCTGGCATGCACTAAAGCAGGAATGGGCAACCCAAGCTGGGCTGGGGACCAATTTCTGGACTGCAAATTTTCCAGTCACGACAGAGGGGATTTTTTTTAGTCATTCCTCCTCCCATAGTCTGGGTCTAACAACCTAGAGCCAGATCCCTTCCACAAAGCTGTATAAAATCCACACTGAACTGAATTATATCGCAATGAGGACTCAGATAATCCAGTTCAAAGCAGATATTGTGGATTATCTGCCTTGATATTCTGGGTTATATGGCTGGGTCTAAACAGCAGGGCCAGTTGCTTGCAGCACAAAAAGGCTCCAGCTGTGATTGTTTCGGCCCCCAGAGGCATTCTCTCATTTGTATTCTATTCCACTACTTTTTAAATTGTGGGCCCTGACCCCAAATAGGCTCCCCTTAGCTCAATTTTGGGTCCCGAAAAATTTGGCGAGAATAAGTTTTCTGAAAGTCATTTAGTGGCTGTTTTAGACATTTACACAAATTTGTTGTGCACACTTTACAGTGGATTCTGCAGAAGATGTTACAACTGTACTTCATACAAAGGAAAATCAGCCTGTTTAGCAAGCCACGAAAATACTGATTTTTTAAAAATCAGTAAATGTTTATTTTTATATCTGTTTTATAAACTTATATACCTGGGGTCACAATAATTTGAGACAGAAGCAATTTTTGGAACTATAACTATAGTTAGGAGAGTAAAGATCACAGATGAAAAAGCCAAACAGGACAGAAAGATTGGATGAAGTATGGCAAGCCTAAAAGATAAAACATGTTTATTGAATATGGAAAGTATTAAGAAACCAGTCAAGAGAGGCACTGTGTGATCTAGACAGTAAGAACAGTAAATGGTTTTGACGGCTGAACTCTATACACACAAGAAAAGGAAGGAATCAATGCATTCCTCAAGGAAGTGGTTTTGCTGAGAGTGCTAAACAATTTTTTAAAATGTCATAATTGGTTCCCTAAGCAGATACATCTTTTGTAGGGCAAGATGTAGCATTACCTGAGGTTTTGGTATATGCTTCAGGTCAGTATACCTTCTTCATTTTCAAACAGTTACTTCTTATATTATTGCACCAAGCAATTAGTATGCATGATTGTTCAGAATTTCATAGAAAACCAAACACTTGATTTAATTAATAATTTCAATCAGCCCTTTTAATAATTGAATAGTACAATACAATCTATTATCCTGCATATGTTTGATTCAAAATAAACTATTGAATCCAATGGGGTTAATCCTAGTAAGAATTTCAGATTGCATCACTGATTTAAATATGTTCTAAACCTGAAGTAACTAAGGCCCATTCTACACTGCCATATAAAATTCAGATTATCTGCTCTGAATTGGATTATCTAGTAGTGTAGACTCATATAAAACAATTTGGGCCCAGCCTACTTGAGGGACCTCATCTCCTCCTATCAGCCCACATGAGCCCTAAGATCATCAGGACATGGGAACGAGGTTGATGGGAATGAGGGAGAGGGCCTTTTCAGGGGTGGCCCCGCAGCTCTGGAACTCCCTCCCCAAAGAGATACATTTAACCCCCCTCGTTATTGGTCTTTCGCTCCCAAGTGAAAACCTTTTTATGGAAGCAGGCCTTCCCCGATATTACAAGAGTACACATTTCATCAGATAAAGCTCAAGGCTCATATGGACAAAGATATGGAGCTCTGAATTGTTCATCTTAATGCTTAATGTTTTAATGTATTAGTGGCCTGAGGTGTAGAGTTTTTAAAATGATAATGATATATGTGTTATTTTTATACTTATTTATATTTCTGTAATTTTTTGTTGCTTTATTGTCTATATGCTGGGTTGTGGGATGAGGGTTTTTGTATTATGTAGTTGTATTTTATTTTGTACACTCCTTTGAGTTCCATTTGTGGGAGAAAAGCAGGAGAAAAGTAAATAATAATAATAATAATAATAATAATAATAATAATAATAATAATCCAGTTCAAAGCAGATAATGTGGATTATATGCTTTGATAATCTGGATTATATGGCAGTATAAAATGAGTCTATGAGAAGAAGGAGGGAAATAGCAAAGAAAACCAAGCTTTCCAGACAGGTTTAATTAGTGCATTGTAATGCTACAAATACTACATAGGGAGAACAACCAAAATAGGAAGGACCGGAAAGTTTGATTTGGGCCACAGGTTTCAGATGCAACACAGGGCCCATCCACACAGACCTATATCCCAGAATATCAAGGCAGAAAATCCCACATCATCAGAGTATGGACTTGGATAACCCAGTTCAAAGCAGACATTGTGGGATTTTTTGCCTTGATATTCTGGGATATAGGGCTGTGGGGCCCTAACAATTTTTAAGAAGAGTGTCAACAGTGCACAGTCAGGAACAAGTTTAAAGAGAAAAATGAGTAATGGGAGTTTTATGTCTGAAGAGATAGATAGATCAATGCTTTTATTTGTATCACTGAAATAAAATGTTTCATTTGCACACATTATGGATAGAATTAAACAATATAACAGGATACTCACTTCCTACTGATCTCTTTCATTAAACTATCATACATCTTAAAATGCTGGTAGACATGGACTGCTGTGGAAAGAATGGTGTACAGATTTTGCAGTGGAGCCCTGGAAGGGATATCTTTGCTCCTCTCTTCAAGCCTGGTCAGGACAGCTGTTGCCACTTTGCAGCAGGATTCCACAAAGTCTGCTCTGATTTCCTGGAGAGACTCATCTTTGCAGGCCAAGGCCAACGGAAGTAACGTGTCTAGTTCTTCCATGATATCAGAACAAAACTAAGGAATATAAATGTGACATACAGTTCTTTTTACTCTATAGTGCTGTTCAATGCATATATAGTATAGTAATAATATATTTGGCATGAGAAAGGGAAACACATAGCACTGCTTCAGATAACACGGGGGCATGGCATTGGCTGCAACAACCGATATATTACTGGTGCTCAGGAATCAATCCATAACCAGTATTACATTTAAAGTTTGCCTTCATTTTAATGAAGACAAAAACATCTTAGGGTAACAAGGTATCTGGAACTCTGGTTAGGGAGAAAAGCAATTGGATAGATTTAAGCACCCTTTTTGTTTTCTCTCTTTCACAGAAAACCACCCCTTCTACTATACTTCATAGGAAAGCAGAAGCAGTAGTCACAGTTTAAATATCAAACATATTTACAGGATATGTACTTTCTGACTTATGCTCCACAAAAGGCCAGCGCATACTTTCAGCAGAAAAAGTGACAAAGTGGAATGGTGGGAGAGACAGTACATCAGGTTCCAGAGATAAACGTTATGTTTGAATTGTGCTCTTCAAGAAAATCACTCTGTCCCCAGAAAATAATATATGAGAGAGAAATAATATAATAACTCTTCTTCTTGACATGCTTTATATGTTCAGGGTATAGTTTTATTTTGTCTCGCTTTGCTTTTCATTTAGTTGGGCATCATTCAAATATGGCATACAGTGAAGTACAATCTTTGTCATTTTATTCTGCTTCATATATATATTGCAAGAGCAGGAGAAATATCCTTTACTCGAGATGGAATTGTTTTTCATCTGGGCTGTTAAATTCACAGTTCTCCGTTGTGAATCTACAACTCCATGCCCATCATCTCATGTAAATCCCAACACAGTTTCAGATCAGTAGTCTTTCTGCTCTTATATAGGGCCCTTCCACACAGCCATATAACCTAGAATATCAAGACATAATAATCCACAATATCTGCTTTGAACTGGATTGAGTCCACACTGCCATATATCCCAAGTTGAAAGCAGATAACGTGGGATTTTATTCAGGTGTTGTGGAAGGGGCCATAGTTTTTTCAGTGAGAAACCTCACTGTACAATAGCACACTAGCAGAAACCCACCATTTTGCTTATTGAATAAATAATGCTGTTCACCAATCTCTGAGAACACATAACCATCCCTAGCCCCTCCTTATGTAATAGGTCATCCTTGTAGGATTCTATCTGATTCCTACAACAGTATTGGTCTTGCATGTATGTACATCAAAAGAGGGAAACAAATAAGAAAGTTTCAAATGCTGATGGGTTACAGATCTTTTGATACATGCCTTTGAAATCTGCTTTGGTCGCTCATCCTCATGGATTATACCCCAGGATTCCTTCATGTGCTTCACATTTACACGAAATATTGCATAGCAGCTAACTGATGCCTGTTCATTCTGCTCCTGCTGAAGAATTTTACTAGAAAAATCTTCAACTGCAATTGTTATGCAGTGTGCGACTGAGGAAGACAAGCTGTTAAATGCATTTCTCCAGCCAAATTCTAGCATAGTGGTCTGGAATACAGAAAGTATACAATAAACATAGAATTGTCGAATATTGCTGTTTTAAGTGAATAAACACAACAATCATCATCTTCACTTGAGGCGCTTTATACACTCACAGCACAAAATAGATGGAATATTTTCCATTTGGGATCCAGAGAAATGAGTGGAAGCAGTGCAAAATCTGTTTGACTCACCAGTGTCTTGGTCGGTAATTTTATTTATTTTTATTTATTTTTTGTCATGTCAGGAGTGACTTGAGAAACTGCAAGTTGCTTCTGGTGTGAGAGAATTGGCCGTCTGCAAGGACGTTGCCCAGGGAATGCCCAGATGATTTTGATGTTTTTATCATCCTTGTGGGAGGCTTCTCTCATGTCCCCGCATGAGGAGCTGGAGCTGATAGAGGGAGCTCATCCGCCTCTCCCTGGATTCGAACCTGCGACCTTTCGGTCTTCAATCCTGCCGGCACAGGGGTTTAACCCACTGCGCCACCGGGGGCTCCGGTTGGTAACTGACGCATGCACTTTATTCATCAGCCGTATCCTCACAATTGATTTGCACCAGTCTACCACCCGTGTCAAAAAAAGGTTATTTCAGGTCCACTGGATGTTAGTTCAATGGTTGTTTTTAATATTTTGTTAAAATGTTGATTTTTATTTTGTTTTATGCTGTTATTTATGTATTTTAATGTGTTTATTTTAATTATGTTGATTGTGCTTGTTCCCATGGAAGCCACCCCGAGTCCCTTCGGGGAGATGGAGGAGAGGTACAAAACTCAAGTTGTTGTTGTTATTGTTATTGTTGTTGTTATTATTATTATTATTATTTGAAACACAACAAGATGAGTTCACAGCAGACAAGATCACTCTGCTGGCTATTGTATTGGCTCACAAGTCAGACACTTCCCAAGTGTCTAGGACTGTGTGATGTATCGGCAAATAATGTGTGCAGATCCTAGTAAGGTGGCCTTCTGCATTATTATTATTATTATTATTATTATTGTTATTGTTATTATTATTGGGTGCTATCCCCAATCTTCAGTTCTTTTAATTGTTATTGAATTACAAATGTTAATTAATGCAAAGAAAATGGGTGAAGAAAAGATGTGGCGGAAAGTGGGAGGGGCAAAGACATAGGACATGGATTTGGCCTATGTTTACATTAATATAACATGTCCAAAATATATTTACCTCAGATTAATATATGTGCAAAAGGACAAAAGTGATTAGGTAAAATCAATAAAGGAAAATGTCTAAAATGTCAAAATTAGGTCTGAAATGTGGTCTTGTTGAACAAACCTGTAACTGCTTTAAGGGAAAAAATTAAAGTTATATGTTTTACAAGTACATAAATGATGTGGAACTATGTTTCTCCTCACCTAAGTTATTTTGGTTTTTCTGAGGAGACTGATAAAGATGTTATGTATGTTTCTTGCATGTTTCAAAGTTTTGCAATGATTCATGTTTATTATGAACCGAGTTACCCAAATGAGTATAAAATGTTAAAAATCACACAAGAAATTAGGACTAAAATAAAATAAACAAGCATAGGTCATTTTTTTTAAAAAAAATCATCTGGTAAATGAGTCCACATTTTTAAAAAAGTGATCAAAATCAATTGATCTGACTCACACATTCCTGGCATATCATTTGTGCTGGGAATGGTAAAATATTTTTGGTTCATCAAACAGTAATCTATATATATAAATTTGTTAGGGGCATCCAACGAGGAAACAAAACTCAAAAAAACCCCAACGAAACTTAACCAAAATTCCCATGCCCATAACACAACCCACAAGGTACAAACATATCTACTCAAAATGAAAAACAACAAAACAACACACTCACAAAACGGCAAAACAACAAAACTCAAAAATCCCCCAACGAAACTTAACCAAAATTCCCATGCCCATAACACAACCCACAAGGTACAAACATATCTACTCAAAATGAAAAACAACACAACACACTCAAAACGGCAAAAAAACAAAACTCAAAAACCCCCAACGAAACTTAACCAAAATTCCCATGCCCATAACACAACCCACAAGGTACAAACATATCTACTCAAAATGAAAAACAACACAACAACACACTCACAAAACGGCAAAAGAATAAAACTCAAAAAAACCCAACGAAACTTAACCAAAATTCCCATGCTCATAACACAACCCACAAGGTACAAACATATCTACTCAAAATGAAAAACAACACAACAACACACTCAAAACGGCAAAAAAAAAACTCAAAAAAACCCCAACGAAACTTAACCAAAATTCCCATGCCCATAACACAACCCACAAGGTACAAACATATCTACTCAAAATGAAAAACAACACAACAACACACTCACAAAACGGCAAAACAACTGAGCATGCGCATTGGCGCCCAGCCGCAAGTTCCCTGGCGCGCGCACATGGCCTTCCGGCCAACGTTCCCTCTGCGGAAACCATGCCCACTCCAAGCCCCGCCGCGCCGCTTCCCGCACACACACACACCCCTGCCGCACATACACACACAACCCCACACTCCATCACCTCCCCCCGCCGCCGCACACACACACGCAACCCCACTCCCCCCGCCGCCGCACACACACACGCAACCCCACACTCCATCACTTCCCCCGCTGCCGCACACACACACGCAACCCCACTCCCCCCGCCGCCGCACACACACACGCAACCCCACGCTCCATCACTCCCCCCTGCCGGCACGCACACACGCAACCCCACTCCCCCCCGCCGCCACACACACACACAACCCCACGCTCCATCACTCCCCCCCCCCGCCGCCCCCCGCACACACACACGCAACCCACGCTCCATCACTCCCCCCGCCGCCGCACACATACACCCCTCACCACGCCACCCCAAACCCCACCCGACACCCCCTTCCCGCCTGTCAAAAATCTAGGAACTCAAAGACGGAAGGAAGGAAAGAAGGAAGAAGAGAAAGGGAGGTAAAGAAAAAGGGGGAAGGAGAAAGAGGGAGAGAAGGAAAGAAGGAAAGAGAGAAGGAAGAAAAGAGACCAGAAGAGAAAGAAAAAGGGGGAAGGAAGGAAAGAGATAGAGAAGGAAGAGGAGAAGGAAAGATGGGAGGGAAGGAAGGAAGGAAGGAAAGAGGGAAAGAAGGAGAGAAAGAGGGAAGGTTGGCCACAGCAACACGTGGCGGGTAAAGGTTGTTATTTCTATTATTATTATTATTATTATTATTTCTTTTTAGGGGGAATGGGAGAGGTGTCAGGTCCCAGAGGCAATGCATTGCATTATTGTTATTGTTATGATGGTGGTAAAATAAAAGGAAATAAAAAGTGAAAGAAGGAAGCAAACAGGGAGGGAAGAAAGGCAAAGGAAGAAAGGGGGAGGGAAGGAAGGAAAGAGAGAAGGATGAAACCAAGTAGTGAAAGAAAGAAAGAGGTAGAGAAGGAAGAAAGGAGAGAAAGGGGAGGAAAAGGGGGAAGGAATAGGTAGGTACCTCTCTTTCATAATAGTCCAGATATCTACCTCAACTTTGATAAGTTTTACTATAGGCCACAGCAACGCGTGGCAGGGCACAGCTAGTATAATATAAATCTCTTCCCCCTTTTTTTGTAGTTAAGTGGCTTCAATTAGTTTCTGACTTATGGTGACCTTAAGACAAATCTGCCATGGGGGTTTCTTGACAAGATTTATTCAGAGTGGCTTTGCTTCCTGAAGCCGGGAGAATATAACTTGCCCAAAATCACCCATTGTGTTTCCATGGCAGAAATGGATTTGAAACCTGGTCTCCAGAGTCAGTGTGATGCTCAAACTATGTTAGCTCCCAAGTCTCCCCCATAAAAACCTATAATCGTATCCACATTTGGTTCAGTATAGCTTGATCCATGTTATTGTTATTTATTTATATCCTGCCTTTCTCCTGATAATGGGAGTTAATAGGATATTTAAAGCAATACAAGTTAAAAGCAATATAAAACTAATAATAAAATCATTAATATAAAATTAAAAACACTTACATATTTTGCAAATTAAAACATTAAATGTTAAAAATATTTGAAAATATTAAAATGTGTTTAAAAACTATGGAAAAGGTCTTTAAAATAGTCCAATACTCGTCACTTTGTAAACACAGCTTGTAATGAACTAATTAATGAACTCTTGGATATTTACTTGTCTTTATCAAATCATATCATATCAGTGTATTTGTGAAAATACATTCACAAACTTTTATTTCCAGTTTTTTATTTCTAAACCTCAGTCTACATTAATAATAGAGCTGAAATTATTGAGATCTGGGCATAAAAGATTTACAAATAACATGTTAACAGGCCCTTATCTACTGTGGTAGCACTGAAAATTCATCTTCAAGAGTGGTGGAGTTTTTAATTTTTATTTCACTCACCTTTTTTACTTGAAGTAACTGTTCTGAAAGGGCACTGGTTTCATTCACTCTACTTTCCCCTATTAAAAGCTCCCCACCAGCTTTCTTCAGAACTCCTGCACAGTATGACAAAAGGGAACAAAGCAAGATTAATCCTGTGGAAAACATGCTAGCCTGCACCATCTTCTGATATATCAATATAGAGAGATATTCAGCAAGTTGTACTAGAATACTAAAATATAAGAGAAATTTTATATTGTGAGCAACATTTTTAGAAGATCCATAGTCTATGTTTTGCATACAATATTTGGCATGGATTAAGGATGAAAAAATATTTAAAATATTAAGAAAATTGTCAAAGAGAATTTCTACAGTTTAGGGTAAGATCGGTGTAAAGTAAGTATTATTTTTCCTGTGCAGAATACATTATTTCTATCCTGAAAGTAATACTCTCTATAGCAGGTTTCCTCAACAGTCCCTCAAACTGTTGGAGGGCTGGATTATAATTTGAAAAAAAAAACATGAATTCCTATGCACAATACACATATCTTATTTGTAGTGCAAAAAAAATATTAAAAACAACACCATAATTAAAATGAAGAACAATTTTAACAAATATAAACTTATTAGTATTTCAATGGGAAGTGTGGGCCTGCTTTTGGCTGATGAGATAGGATTGTTTTGTTGTTGTGTGCTTTCAAGACTTAGGTTGACCCTCAGGCCTTAGTTTGAGGACCCATGCTCTATAGAAATGCTAATTCCTTTTTAAATGCTGTTTTCTGTACAAAAACATTTGTAAATATAAAATGGGAAGGAGGAAGCAGACATAACTACAATACCAAGATAAACAAGCAATCAGAAGCTCATGAAGATGTTCATTTACTAATCAATGCTGGCATATTTTGAGGTCTTTCTATCATGATGCTACAATCCCAACACATTACTATTTTTAAAAAACTAGGCAATAGAAATCTATGATAGTCATAAACAGCCCCAGAAAGTTTTTAGTTTGAATCTATTCACAACAGAAGAAAGATATACTACTAATGGAAGGCTGAAACATTGGTCTTTTATAACATCAAGAGAGACACAGGAGGTCAAGCCATAACCTCCTTTGACTTCATGTTCTGAGAGCAGGAAGGGAAGCTCATGTATTGAGACAGGCAATACAGATACAAGGGCCCAGTAGCGAGAAAGCATTAGAGGGCAGTCTCTATAGCTGTTCTCTTGGCACATATTTTCTAATGTGTTCCTTTTTCTTCTACTTGCAGCTACAACATGGCTCACCACTACAACCACTACCTGTAGAGATCTGTCATCTTCCCCACCACAGTATCTTAATTGCTACTGGTAACTAATAATTTCAAAAAGTCCATGGCACATCAGATCACAGCTAGCTGGAGTTAGTGTAAAGGAGGAGTAGATATACTTAAAAACACATCAAAGAGACCTTCAATTATGAACTGTAACCTCCAGTCAGAAGTCACCCATCTACAAATGTTGGACATGGCAAAGCTGACCATCATGGTTGCATCACCCTCCATTAACATGAGCTAACAAAAGCATGTTCAGTCTGCCAATTACTTTCAATCACTGACTCCTTTTACTACAATAAAGAAAGCTAGACATGGAATCTTGAAGTATGCAATGTAACAAATGTTGAGCTGATATGACAACATTATTCAAACATTTAAAAAAGAGATTTCACTCCAATGAAAGGAGGCTTAGCAGCAATTCTATCCCCATTTTGAAATTTCATACAGACAGATGAGACAGAGAGAAAAAGAGGGAGATTTTTGTAAGCGTATGAATAATAAGAGGACAAGTAAAGCAAGAGAAGTAATTAATGTACTGGAGTACAAAAATGATGAAATTACAAAAGAATTGAAAATTAAATCAAAAATCAAAATTAGCACTCACTTCCATAATGCTCACAAGATTAGATTAAATTCAATTGGGTTTTGTTAACTGTACCTACAAATGAAAAGATTTGTTGGCATTAAAGCTTGAACCCTACAACTATTAATCTTTCTGAGTCTTGATTCAAATACAAGATCTTTATTTCATTACTACGTAAAAATACACATTTACCTTCCACTTGACCTTCATGATTCTTTCATCTTTTAGATGTCATCACCTTTTTACCTGCACTTACTGAAAGAACTATGGTGGACTTGCTTGGAAAGGGTTTAAATAAGCAGTCTTTTATTAATCCAACTCCACCCACATTTTTATAATGCAAACGTCTCCATTTTGAGAAGAATTCAGATACAAGTGACTTATACTACATATAACATTGACAGAAAAATCAAGGCCATAAAGCCCTGCAATAGTTAGAAATACTTATGGTTCTGATTAAATTGACACCTTCAGTATGATAATCTAGTAATACAATATATTGAATTGTTGCTATGGGTGCTGAAAAAGCAAACAAAATGACCAAAGGAACTGTAACAAAAACGTTGTTTTATTGTTTTGGCCAGAACAATGTATAATAGTCTAGGAGAAGTTTTTAAAAGACAATTATTGTTTTAAATAGCTTATGCGCTTCCAAGAAATGTCTAGCAAGCTAATGAAAATAAACTTTTGTCTCGTATGTTTTGAGTGTAAATTCCATATCCTTATCATCCTGTTTCTTAAAAATAATCTTCATGAGAGAAGCTGCTGCTGCTATTTTGGGGATCCACACACAGAGACAACCTAATGCCTATCTGGCTTCAAAAGCTACCCATTAGGGCGATGACTTTGTAAATCTGATCGCTTTATTCTTTTATAGTGCTTTCTAGAGATTTATATGAAGTAACAGATTTCTTCTTAATCTGTGAAGGAAAGACCTTTGCAAATCTTTCTAGTCCCCTGAGGCAAAGCTTGAAAACCTAAGGCCTTGACAAGTTTGCCCAGAGTGGTTTCAAAGAGCTCCACTGGAAAAAGCTTTTCTTGGCACTCATTATCAGATCTGTCTAAAGTTCACCTTTCTTGCTGAAATGGGGGAAAAGAGGTGAGAGGAAGATGAAAAGTGTGTTAGATGTTTTTGAAAATCTCAACAAGACACTTCTGAAAGACCAAAGGAAACAGAAAGCACACCAGAAGGGCAGAAGGAGAATATAATTTGGCCAAACATTCTTCATTCTAAATAAGGATGTTCTGCTATAACCGTGGCTGCTGCTATATGTTCCAGGTTCCATCAAAGGATAACATCTCCAGTGATAATGACTGTACTAGGTATGTCTCAATTTTCCATTAATTTAACTGTAGAATAAATCAAGGAGAACAGTGAGAATGGAGAAAGACCACACAAAAGAAAAGGTTAATTCATATAACTATTGCACAAAATCAATTCACCATTCATATATTCAATTTTCTTACAGTGCTTTTGTGAGCCGCCCCGAGTCCGTTGCAGGAGATGGTGGCGGGGTATAAATAAAGTTTATTATTATTATTATTATTATTATTATTATTTCTAGAAAAAGGAGGAAAAATCAGAATGTAGACCTCCTTTTTCACAAGTCCCAAATCCTTGGAAACAAAAGCAGATGTAGCAGGCTTGAACTAATGGTACTTCATTTATGGCGGCTGAAAAGCAGGCAAAAATATTTTCTTATTTATTTCATTGTATATCCTACCATAATATTGGGATTTGTTAAGTCAAATCATATTGACTTCAGGGTAACAATTTATCATGCTCTGAGCTTCAATCCAAGATTTTAAGTCAATCATGCTTGCATACGTGTAACCAAGAACAAACTGCTTTTGTTGTGAATGATGTTCATGCATTTGTTTTATTTTATACTTGATACATCAGCATGAAAGGGGATATAAGGAATTATACGTAGAAGGAAAAGAAGCTTATTAAACTAAAAATATTTTTGAAATGATCACTCTCCTAAAGTAAGCAATATGCTTTTTAGCAAGTGAGTAAAAACTGGTTAAATTCCTGAGCATTCAAAATGAATTGCAAAAAAAAAAAAAAAAAAAATCCAGATCATTTCAGCGTGCCTTCTATGTATATTTTTTGATAGCGCACATATTTTTCCACTGTATCCCTTGGTGCTATTGTGTGCCATGGGATTACAATCAGAGAACACCAGTGGGCAGTACTTCCTTGAGTTGTAACTTCTATTTTCAGCCAAGTAAATTGGCCCTCATAGGTTTCCATTGTGCAGACTGCAAAGGAACTTGTCTTGATGGCAGCTAGAAGTGGTGTGAACTATGTATCTCTCTTTTCTTCACAGTACTTTTTTTTTGGTTCACAAGCAACCTCCTACCAAAAGCAGAATCTGCAGAAGAGACTACATCCAAGTGATAATGCTATGAAAACGTATGAAGAGAAGCCCAGGTGGCCACCTTGCAAATTTCCAATGTGGAAGCCTTCGACCTCTCCGCCCAAGCAGCAGCTATAGTCCTAGTGTAATGAGCTTTACAAACCCTGGGAGCCACTTTACCCTTAACTACATACGCCTCCCTAATACAGTTCCTTAACCATCTAGCTAAGGAACTCTTAGAAGCCATTTGACCCCTCTTAAGACCCCCTAAGAGTACAAACAATCTGTCAGAAGATCTGAAATCTTTGATTTTTCTGAGATAAACCCTAAGTGTTCTCCTCACATCCAATTTATGCAGCCATTGCTCTTTGTCGTCGCTGGGTCTAGGGAAAAAATGATGGCCAAGAAACCTCCTGGTATAGCTAAAACTCTGATACCACGGATGGCAAAAATAAAATAAAATATGAAGAACTTTCTGACAAACTATTTTATTTTTGATGGAGTTTTACAAACAATCTGTACAAGCCTTCAGTCTCTAAGAGATATACTGAGCAATGAATGCCTAAACTTATTATGCCAATGCTCACTTTCCCTTTTTTGTTACAAACTAGCATGTCTTCAACACAAGGCTAATGGAGACCTGTTGGGAGCAATAGAAAGGTGCAGGGCTTTGATTTATTCCATGATGAGAAAATCTAACCCACCGATAAACCATTTATTGCTGACTTATAAAAAACTATTTAATTCTATGAACACAAAAATTGTAGTGTCACTCAAAGTACTCTATATTTGTACGCCTGCACTGCTTCCAGAAAGATCAACAGTTTAGCATCAGACCTTTCTTTGTAATAACTACTATCAGGATGTTGTTGCCTTCCCTTCTAGAATATACAGTTAGTGCCTTCTGAAACACATTTTCATCCTAAAGGCAGGGTCCAGTGGGAATGTTCCATTAGCAGAACTAGGAGGAAAGTAAAAGTTCCACCCCTGAGCAGTCGCCATTTCATCTCTAGGACCTGCTCCAGATCACTGTAAAACCCTTTGGTGTGGGCTTTCAGATGACATGGAAGAGAAGATCACACATAAGAAGGCCCACTGTGCTAATGGACATATATTAGCACTACAATGGATTGTGCTTTGTATCTCCCCACTCTGATTAACTGTCTAGTTAAAGTAGTTGTGTTTTGTCCATCTTATATAAGAACTGCATAGTAATTCTATTCATTATGTATAACTAAATTTCATGTTTATTTTAACTGTATTTGTTATAAAAAGTGTTACAAGTGAGAAACCTGAAATACTTCAAAACACTTTGGAATGTACCAAAAATATGTTGATGTTACAGGACCAAAGAAGGAGCAAGCTATTTTCCCACAGCCATTATTCTATCTGATGAATTTCTATGAAGTAATTATTCTGAAGGAAAAATAAAGTTAAGTATAAATGTATATTACCTTGAACATTTTTGCTCTCAGAAAAACATGGTAATAACAACATTTCTGAAGACAGTTCTTCAACTTTTTCTTCCATCAACAAAAACAGGTTTATAAGCTGGGAAAGACATCTGAGTTGATGTAGCGTTAAACAGAAGTTTCTCCCCTTTCTGGAATATTCCTGAGCAACTGAAAAATAAATGTGAAAAATTAGTTTTGTACAATATATGAGGTCATATATATAACTATAGCACTATAATACTTCAAATACATCATCATAGTTTTAAAAAAATACTGTGTATATTTGCACAGCTGTAAAGAAAGAAGCTTTAAATCTGTTTCCATGCCTGTAAAACAGGTCTGCTTTTAAAGGGATTCAACAAAAGCAACAGAGAGTCTTGTGAAATGTTAAACTTTCATGGACTACATCTCATGTGCATCATAAGAAGCCATTTTTAAGGCACTGACTTAGTCTTTGAGACACCAGCAAACTCTTTTTCGCAGTAACATAGTATGTCGTCAACCCTAGGAAATTACATACAGTTTCACAATCCATAATGTAGTACTGATTATTTCTCAGACCTAAGAGAGTTACCTTATGATGTGCAAGAGAAATATCTTTTGTCGCAGATACTGGTCAGTAATCTACAAACGGTCAAAGAAGTTACTGGAGGAAATTATCTAAACACTTAGAATGTAAGGTACATATGGTGAAGACATCTAGTGATTTAAAAAAAATCAAAAGATGTAGGACAAAAGGATTGTCTTTAAGTAGTGTTTGGTATTTCCATTAAGCAGAATGAAATCAACTAGACTGAGAAAAACTGGGTTTGTGTTAATAAATAGCTGTAATGATCTAGTAAGTGGCTTGACGGTTCCAGCATTTCCATTAAGAACCCAATCTATAAACCAGTGGGTGCTCCTAGAGGGCCAGTTGAAAGCTGTAGAAAATAGTAGCTTTTGTCAGCAACATTTTACAAGTAATTCCTGATTTCTTTCAGAGCGCTAAGAAATAATAATTGTTCTTCATTACTATGCAAACTCAAAGAGCTATGGGAGTAGTGTGTTCTGTGAGTAGTCACTTCTGGAAACATTTCAGAAACTGTGAAACACAATAGCTTCACTCTTCACCAGGGAAGAAGCTGAGTGCCCAGTCTCTGCTTTTTGACTCTACTGACTCGTTACATTTTAATGTATTACTTATTACTTGCAGAGCAACATTTGATCTGTGTCCGGCATTTCTAAGGAGTGCCTATTATCATGTTTTGGGATTGCAAGACAAAATTATGAAAAGATAAATTCTTCATTTAGTGAGGAAATTTTTGTTCTAAATTTTCATCAGTAAAGAAAGGCACATTCACACATTAAAAAAACCCTTTATCCTCACTATTTACAGTAAAGACAGAGAATGTGAAGCTAATAAGCAATTTCTACAGACCATTTTACAAATAACATTTGCTGCTGCTTTCTGAGAGTTAGCATTCTTTATAAATGAAAGCCTAAATGCACTTATCAGGTTTAAATACAGACTTCAAAAGTGGAACTTTCTGAAGTCCACGCTGATGTCTCTTTCAATGAGCCATTGGAATGGTAAAGCAACAGGCAGTATGATACCTTCCAGGACATCAGCTAATTTATTCCTTTGGGTCGCCCACCTACTTGCCTCTCACCTATTCTTCCGGTTTCCCTTTATCTGCCTTTTTGCTAACTATTTACCTGCCTCCTTAGCTTGCATGCTATATCTAAAGTACCCTTCCTTAAACTAATGTATATGGAATGTTCCTTTGATTTTGTCTTGGTCCTTTCATGAGATCTGTCCCAGATTCATTCAAGATTCTGATCCCATTGGTATTGTAATTCCAACATCAAGAGAGAGTTACCTTCGGTCTATTAGTGTTTTTATGGTAACTTGATTGCTTCAGTGACAGCACACTTTAATTCCCATAGCCAGCATGAGCTCCTGAAAGAATAAATTCTGACTGTGCATTACTTCCTAGCCCACAGATATCCAGATCCTTCGCGATGAGTTTCTCTTGAAAACAGCAGGACAACACTTCAACTAATATTCTACAAAACAACCATTCTCCTACTATTCTAGACTGGAAGAGAAGAATCTTTGATGGGCTTGACATTACTCCATCATGAAACTGGTGAGGCAGCCCTAAGCCTGTTTATTATCATTTAATTTGGTCTGCTGTCTTCAAATGATAATGCAAACTACTATGGATTTAACAGAATGGGATAGAAGTCTTCAGCTTTTAGTTTCTGTAATCTATAGTTTTCTGTTTCTTCAGGCAAATGTTGTTTATTTTAATTGCATTTAGTTCCATTAACCCACACTCAACTCGCAGATTGAGCAAGTAGTATCCTTCTGGGTCATCTCTCTGGGATGGGACTAGGTTGCACTGTGTTACAGCGGCTCTGTTCCTTCCTACAGAATTGTACCCTGAAGGTGATGATGGAGGACTTCTGTTTGACTACTTGGTCAGTGGTCTCAAGGCTCTATTCTGTCCTCCATGCTGTTTAACATCTACATGAAGCAGCTGGGTGAGATCATCCAAAGTTTTGGAGTTCGGTGTCACATATATGCAGACAACACCCAACTCTATTACTCCTTTCCACCAAAAGCCAAGGATCCTGTCCTGGTCCTGAACTGGTGTCTGTCAACAGTAATGGACTGGATGAAGGCAAATAAATTGAAATTAAATCCCGACAGAGGTGCTCCTGGTGAGTCAAAAGGCCGACTGGGGTAAAGCGATACAGACTATATGGACTTGAAAGCTAACAGCTGATATGATATTGATAGCTTTCATCTCGCTCCACTGCCTAGTCATTCCAATGATTCCACGGCATTCTGTACAAACTTTACAAACAGTTCTGCAAAAAAGACATCACTAACATTTTTTCCCCAAAAGTCAGACTTTCCCTGAAAACAATCAACATCAGCCTTGGAAACTGGAAACTGAAAGAGAATAAGTCACATCTGCTAAAATACCCTAAAGAAACTAGATTATTTTGAAAGCTAAGCAGATTCAGTCTTGGTCACTACTTGGATGGTACACTCCCAATAAATACCAGATGTTGTAGACTATTTGAGAAGAAGGAATTGGAAAAACCATCTCTGTGTATTCATCACATAAAAAAACTCTAAGGAATTCATGAGGTCGTGATAAGTCAACAGGAGACACAAAGGCTTGTGCACAGATCACATCTACGATTATAACTTAGCAAAAATGTCAGTCATAAGTATGAGACCTCACTCATTGCCTAAATTACACTGAAAGGCACGAACCAGAGTGTTTCTTATAAAACAGGACACACACAGTTCCCTTATTGGAACAGCTGCAATATTGCTATCAGTGCAATCCAAAGGGCTGGTTCTTATCCACATGGTTTGACTCTACACTAACTGAAGGATTGGATTCTCCCATACAAGCCTGCCTGGGCTCTGAGATCTTCATGGGATGCCACTCTCATAGACATGCTTCCTGGGGATGTGAACGGTGGTCTTGTGCTCTGGAACTCACTTTTTTAAGGAAGCCACACTGGTCTCTCCTTGCTATTCTTCTATCAACATGCAAAGGCTTAGACATGCCTTTCCAAAAGGTTTCTGGTGAATATTTTCAAAGAGAAGGCTTTTAATAGTGTACTGTACTAGTGTTTTATTGCTTTTTAGAAACTTTTCCTAGTTGATATTTTAAATTATATTTTAATACTGCACATAGCTCAATCCTCTTTGAAATAGAATCTTTTGTATGTTCTTACATTACACTTATTTATAACGTGTGTTGCCTTTAAAAATATTAATAGCAACAATAATGACAACAGCATAACGACACCAGTTTAAAATACATTGGGCATTCAGAACATTACTTTGAAGATTCGTTATTACATCCAGCATTTTTCTTATGAGTTAGATCTGACTATGAATGTGATACACTAAAATCACAGAGATATAATTACTGTACTGCACACCTAGAAAGCTATAAAATGTTCACTAACAAATCCCTTTGACCTTGTTAATGTATATTCCTTGTTAATCTAAGGCAAACATTGTTTATAGATTGCATTTGTTATATAATATGAAAAAAGAAAGTAAATCCCCTAACAGTTGTTATTGATTCCAGCATTTATGGACTGAGATTTAAGTGGCATTTACAAAACAGAACAGATGCAGATGCTGACAAAAAGGTAAACAATTGTTGCATGGCTTACTGCCAGACTCTGAGCCGATATATTAAACTCCAAGTGAAGCACATTTCCCCATGGATTGCACTTATTGCCACTTCATTTCCTATGTGCACTGTCTCTCTATTGCTGTGCCTGACAGTAAGCTATTTCCAGTTCTTTTGTGACCCCTGAGGCCTAGTGCTACCTCGCACAGCCATTAGCGAAGGGAATTGCATGTGCCTGACACGGCCTGAAACCAATTATTTGATATTTTCTTCAGAATGATGCCCAACTCTGTTGGGAATGAGCAATCATGAAATAATTTACCTCCTGATTTAATTTTTTCCTGCACAAATTAGTTGTAGTCTGAGCTAGCTATACACAGCTGCCAATAACACATCTCTGTCTTATCAAGATTATACTTGAACTGATGAAAGAGGGTGGGGTAAATGGAACAGATTGGGAGATCCTGCCTTAAAAAGGCATTGACAAGTTTATCAGTTGTAGTGATCACATGTACATTCTGTTGGTTGAAAATGAGAAAACCTTAAAGAACTGTCAATGCGTCAGAGGAATCACAAGGCTGTGGACCATTAACAAAGGGTCTTAAGCATTGTCCAACACTGATCTGCATTTCAGTTCTCTATAGTTCTTTTAAAACAAATGAGAATATCATTTAGTGGGAGCTTTAAGTTTAGATGAATATTTAAGTTGCTCTCAAGTTTGGAAAAAAACACATTTTCCTACATTAAATTCCAAGTATGTATTCAACTCTAGAACTCCCTGCCCAAGGAAGCAAAAAATAGCACCCTTCCTGCTGTCCTTCTGGCTGCAGGATAAAACCTTCTTATTCAGACAGGCTTTTAAAGATGAAAGTTTTGAAGATCAAGTCGGGGGTGCTGTAGTTTTAACTCTGTGTATGTTTTAATGGATTTTAACTGTGATTTTTAAAACACTGTTTGTATTTAATCCTGTTTTAATGTTTGCACATTTGTATATTTTTAATTGTATGGTAATGT